TGTTGCTTGTTGTTGTTGGTTGGGTTACTAAATTCTGAAGATAGCTGGTAGTGAGTCACTTGTTCAAATCCTGGGACAATCAAGATCTTCTTTAAACTCCTGTTACTATCTTGTTAAATCGCTTGCATCACTGATTAATTCTTAGACTAGTGCATTCGAGTGACTTTAACTACCACCCTGGCAACTGATGAAGCAACCAATCAGGTTTGTCTATTCTACGAAAAAATGTCTTCCCAGCCGAAATACCTCAACCTGATTGGTTAATTTGACATTTGTTAGGGTAGCCTTTAAATTCGCCCTTGCATTCATTTTATTATTCAAATAACACTCACTTTTTCCAAAAAAAAACGAATAAACAGTAAGGTGAACCATGAAGCATGTTAATCAAGCAAATTATAACCTCTATAAAAGAAGAAATAATTTTTCACAGCACTCACATACTAAAAACTTATAATGCTTCGACCACAGATCCTAATATATCATTATGTATAAGCACAATTTAGCATGAAAAAATAAGATGAGAATAAGGTAATAGAGTTCATTAGCAAAAATGACACTGCGATCAGGGTAAGAATGAATAGAGTATCCATTACTTATTTACGACTTATATGTGCATACTAATGTTGTATACCGTAATATACGTATAATATATACTAGAAATATGAAATAGAAGTGAATAGTAGTGGAATCTAGGATGCGCTTTTTGTCTCAGTTGAAACTTATCAGCTGGATGTAACTGTATCTCAGTTTTGTTGTTTTTCACTAAGATTCCAATCTAATGCCAACTACTTCACCAGGTTATTGAGTTACGATTAATGCTTCATGTTGTGTAGACATGAATTCGTGTTATAACTTGTTATTTCCAGTAGTTAATTAATTTTCACCAAAGTTATTAATCAATGTTGGCACATGAACTCCTGCTTGGATGTTTTGATAACAACTACTGATTTCATTTTAGTACTAAGAAGTCCTGAATCCAATATTCCTAAAGTGATCGATCAATTTGGATCAAACCAATCAACAACAAGAAATAAAAACTCATAATACACTAGTGTTATTGATAAACTTAACTGATACAGACAACAGAGGTCATAATGGTTAGATATTTAGATAGTTTAACCCTTCGATATAATACAAAAGACAACTACATCATGAATGGCAATCGTATATATAAGTAGCCTAAAATATAATTCTCATGATTATATGAATAGGGTTTCTGTAATTATTTCCTATTCCTATGACTACAGGAGAAAGACTAGGCAATTTAAGATAAACTCATCCAAATTATTTGACTACAAGGCTTCAAGATATTTTGAAATATGTAATCAGTATTAAACTATTAAGCAGTACTTAGGAGTGAAGTTTCCAAGTATACATATGATTACATTTCAACCATTTATCTATACTTACATTTATTTATTATTGATACCAATTTATTGGATAATATATCTAAAGTCTACTGCAGGCAGATCAAGAACAGTATAACTAACTTGTTATGTCACACAAGAGATAACAAATATTACTCGAGATGAAATTGAATTCAAAAGGTGTGAGAATTGTTATGCTTCGTAACTACACGATACTCATTGACTGGAACAATACGTGAAACTTGTTAACTAATCTAGTTGTGGCTAGCAGTCAGGTCCAGGAGGTACATTTCCTTGTATTCGAGACTCGTCAGCTGTACCTCAGTGAGTGATGTTGTTCCTACTGAGACTTGAACTCAGTACTCATAGCACCAAACGCCGAAATGGTATTCAGTAGGCCACTTGGAAACGAAAGCTACCTATTATATCTTGCTTCATTGGCCTATTGGGTAACGCTTTGGTATTTTGAGAGACGTATGAGGGGAAAACCATAACTCACTGAGATGCAGGTACACTCAGCTGACATGTCGTAAATAGGATGAGACACGTGTTCTGCATTCAGTAAATTAAAACATAGTGACTAATTAAGCAATATTGAAGCATCCACATAGCAGCTTATATGGCAACAGATGTCGACCGACTCAATTCAAAATAACAATGAGGAATCACAAGCATCAACGAATAATAAGAACTGAAACTTGTTTATGATATGCATGTTATAACTAGCCTAATTAGGGTTTAAAAGTGGTGATATAAAAGCTACGTGTTCTGAGTTTTATTGTTATCTCAAGTCTATTGAACTAACATAATCGCATAGATGTAGGTTATATCTGCATAAATCTCAATGTAGTTAAGATAATTTCAATATTTCATTCAGGAGTCGGGTGTGAGCTTCTTCAAGGGAATAATGAAGTCAAAATATCAAACACACATGTAATAAGATCAAAATAATAATAATAATAATAATAATAATAATAATAATAACAATAATCATAAAAAGATACACACTAGTTCACGACTGGTAATATTTTGACCTCATTGAAAAATTTTATAAGTTTAATTTCGATTACTTTCATGGATTTATCCACTGATTAGTTACTAGAATACAGCCAATTTCATGTTTCCTAGTCCTGAGTACTAACCGAATTCTATCTATCATTTTTTGCAATATCGCTATCAAACTAGGAGGCTCAGCATCATGGTGTACACTGATAGATATTAACTGATTGAATGCAATCAATAAGAAGCCTTGAATCTAGATTTGATGCTTCTTAGCACTTTTCAGGAAGGCGTATCTATAACCTTGAGGAAACTGTTATTTCATCTGAGATTTTAACCAGCTTCACCCAGTGTTACAGTAAGCGATGTTACCAATGAGCTATTAGGATCATGATAACCCTCTTGTACGACTGACTGGTCACTGGTGCTAACCGAATTCCATCGACCAAATTATAAATCATATGAAATATCAAGATTTCATTTTAAAGACAATAGTTTTTAAGACGTTCAATCGACTTTTTGTTATGTTTTGTATAAAATACTTCACTTTATAATAGAAAATTGATACAACATGGAGGATAAGCATTTCGTAATACAGAATGATAAAATAGTATTATGGAAACTTAAAGTGCAACAGGTCGGTTATAAATGAAAGATCAGTTTCAAAATCTTCTATTTACTAGACAGTAATATTTATATGTGTTTCACATGAAATCTATAGCATATTCACTTCCATTGTGAATAGTAATTGACAATATCTGAAGACAATGAGTCACATGGTTTCCAAGACATCATCCAAGATGTTATGAATATGCTAACGAATACAAAAGTAAAAACTATATGTTTCTTTCCATGTGATCATATGATTATATGCTCCACTATGTTACTTTCACTCTTTCTCAAAATTAAAAAAAAAACAGTGATCTATTTAAAAGCCTACAGAATAGTATGTATCAAATATGTTTGAAATACTGACGCTAGTATTTTAAGATTACTTTGCAAACAGAAAAGTAATACATACTTCTTTGACAAACTTGACCTACTATAGGTGAACATCCCTTTTATATAGCATAGTAGATAAAGCTCTAGCATTTGAAATGATCTGTTATAGGTTTGAGTTTCAGCAGGAACAGCATTCCTCACTGACAAGCAGATACATTCAACTGACAAATCTCAAAAAAGGATGAAATGCGCATCATGGATTCAACTGTTAGCCACTATCTATCATTATGATATGCAACCATTTTGTGTTACCCGACTGAAATAATATGATAGAATCATTATAAATTTAGAAAAAAAATTTTTCGAATAATATTACTGATAACATTAAAAGCCTATTTCCAAATATGTTTGATACAGTATGAAATTCTCAGCATCTCAATTTTATTCCATGTACAATATTATCAAAAGAAATCATTACTGTATGAGAAAGATGTTAATAAGAACATTATTCAAGGCAATAATGGGAAACCATTAGCTGATGTTAAAAGATTAGCGTCTGTTCTGGAATGGAGGAATCAATAGAAAATCGAACAAAAGTTTAAGGTGGTGGTGGTTTATTCGGCCGGTACAAAAATCTGCAATTTCAGCTAAGTATCCAAGGCATAGTGATGTGTATTTTTGTCATGAACTTGAAAAACGGTTAATTGAAAAACTTTTTAAAATACCCAGAATTACACAATACGTTTAGAAGACAAATTGAAAAGATTTTAAACTAATAATGGGGTAATAATATGACGAGACACATTCAGTGGGAAATTTTTGTTAGCCCAAGACTAAGATAAGGTGACTGACTTTTGATCAAAGGGTTTTTAACATCAATGAATAGGAATATGTTTGCACAAACGGAACTTAAAAATCAGTTTTTTCCATTATTTGAGATCATTTTTGTCAAATTAAACCTAACTAAATTGAAATAAGAAGAATTTATTCAAGTAAAAATAATGAAAAATGTAAATGGAACCTGAAGGTTGTGAGTTCGACCCCCTGTTGAGGTAATGAGTGTGCACTGCTGAGGAGTTCCATACTAGGACGAAACAGCTGTCCAGTGCTTCCAGGTCTCCATTGTTCCTGCAATCGATATCAGTTCATGATGAATACCAGCTCGAAAAATCACTATATACCTACAAACTCCTAAATTCAAAAACATAATAAAACAGAAAATATTATTCAAACAGGTTGACTTCAGAAGATGAAGTAACAAATAATCAGTGTGAACACTGATAAAAAAAGTATAGGTTCCAACTACTGTCACGATAAATAAACCATCCTATTTTTGTTTTATTCTTCACTATTGGCACAATGAACCTCGCCTGGTTAACTAATACACTAGTTACTAGTCGATCCTAAGCCCGGGTAAAGATGGAAGGTTGAGCATACCGCTAGCAACCCTACCCGGAAAACCAATCCAACCACTACAAAAAATCCAAAGCACAGACAAAATATAAAAGATGAAAACAAACTCTTTCGCCGCTGGAATCAGAGAGATGAAATGACGCCGGTTCATGAAAGACTTCAGGAAGCCAGTCGGCCAATGTATCTTCTCGTCTGTCGATGAAAGGGAACGTAAACAAGGGGACACGGAATGCCTGTACAATGTTTGAATCTAGCAAGGCTACCCAGATTATCAAAGACATGAGAAGGTATAGCATAAAACTGCTACGCTGGGAATCTGCGAAAGCAGATGGAATGGAAGTGGACTCGCTCAACTGTCAACTGCAGAGTCAATAATCTACTCCAATATTGTCACCCAGACAACAACCACAAGCACACTCACTCAGAAAAAGAATATCATGATGTCCCCAACACCATCGAAGGATCTCATGTAGTGGGAACCAATCTCCTCCTGCAGGATCATAACACCAACGTTCAACTCACAATGAAGGAAAGCCACAATCATACAATGCTACGCCACGCACCAACAAATAATGCAGATGAAGAGAGGGAGGAGAAATTCTACAGACAGCTGCAATCAACACTGAACAAGACCCCACCCCAGTAGGCGACATCATAATCCATTCTAATGCGTGGGGTGACATCAATCCAAAACTCGGAGTGGACAACACACGAACAGAACTCATCATCATGGGTCGAGAAGCACTCAGTGAAATGAATAGGAATGGAGAACCGCTTGCAGATTTCTGCGCATTCAACGGTTCGGTGATTGGAGGTGAGGCAGTGAGTACAAACACAAGGATATCCACAAAGCGACATGGATTTGATTTCACCAGATACCAGGACACACTAAAAATCAGATCGAATTCATCTCAATCTCAAGAAAGTGAAGATGCAGCCTACTCGACACAAGATGAAGAAGAGGAGCAAATGTAGGTTCACACCACTCACTGTCTAGTGCAAGGAAGCTTCGAAATCAAGTTGAAAGCCTTCAAGGAGGTTGGTGATAGACCACAGTTGGTGTTCAACACCCAGAACAGAAAGTGAAGTACGAAAAACCACAAGGGACATCTTCATGTCAGCCACTCAGCAGTACAAAATGAGATACATTGAGCAACATATCTTGAGGAACCTGTGTGGAAGAACACTGGAACTCTTTGAAAGCTATGTGGAAAGAAATCTGCATAATCGTATTAGGAAGGAAGAGGAGACAAGACAAGGAATGAATTTGACGAGCACATGGAAGCAGATGGAGGGGGTAAAGGAATATGGTGAACCAGAGGATTAACCAGTGCATTGCAAGGATGCGCATCGAAACGGAAATACTGACTGAGTACAATGTATAAAACACTACACTGGACAAGGAAGTGAAGAAGAGTGCACGGAAGGAAAGACAAAAGACACTTCCACGACACATTGGCAAGTGAAGCAGAACAGACTGTGGGTAGGAGAGACCTGACAACATTGTATGAAATAACCAGGTTACTATCTGGGAGGGAAGAGAACAACACAGACGAAACCAATAAAAGATGATGAAGGAAACTTGGTTACCACCAAAGAGGAGGAACAGAGGAAACAATAGACTGACCACTCCAAAAAATCTTGGATCGACCACTACCTGCAACTCCTACGGAAATAACACTATCTGGGAGGGAAGAGATCACCACACATGAAATCAATAAATGATGATGGAAATCTAATTACGAAAGAAGAGAAACAAAGAAAACGATGGGCTGATCACTTCAAAAAGCTCTTGGATCGACCACCACCTGTACTCCGTCAAGAAATGCCACCTGCAGCCCAGCCACAGAACTACAAGTGAACACAAGCCCTCCGAAGAAAGTCTATGTCCTGAACGCCATAAAGCTACTGAAATGTGGGAAAGCAGCAGGACCAGATAAAATCCTGCCAGAAACACTGAGAGCAGGCGCACTGACAACAGAGGACATGCTCACACCACTATTGCAGAAGGTTTGGATGGAAGAAAAGGTACCTCCTGCTGCTCAACTGGAAGAAGGGCTACCTTGTCAAACTCTCGAAGGGAGACCTAAGTCTTTGCAAAGACTCGCGCGGAATCATGCTCCTGCCCACCCCAAGCAAAATATTAAGCCGAATCATGATACTAATTCTTTTAGATCGAATGTATAGGTCGTCGATAATTTTGAAATATGTAGTATTGTACAGAGAATGACATATCTCGGAAACTCTGTGCATGAATAATCAAGCTAAAAGAGCCATCAAAAGTTTAAGACACATTATATGGCCGTGGTGAATGTTGACAATAGGCACTTTAGAGAAATATTAACCAGTTTAGCACTTACTGGCTATATACACTTATTCAGTTTAGTTGCCCCAAGCAAAATATTAAGCCGCATCTTTCTGAAGTGACTAAAGGATGCGATGGATTCAAAACTACGACCGGAGCAGGCTAGATTCAGGAAGTACAAATCATGTGTGGACCAAATTGCAATGCTACACTATGCATCATCAAAAAACAAAGTATAGAATGGCAGTCAACTCTCTACTTCAACTTCATCGATTTTGAAAAGTCCTTCGACAGCGTCGACTGACAAGTAATTTGCAACTGACACATCTTTATTAACCTCATTCAACAACTATATGAAGACACCACATGCAAAGTAATTCACACTGGGATCACAGTGATGCCTTCTAAATTAAGGCAGCAGTAAAAAACGGCTGTCTACTATCACCAATCATATTCCTGATTGTGATCGACTCGACTGGAACATGCAACAAACTGTGAGCAGCAAGAGGAGGGGGATATGTTGCCTGGATCGGGGAAAAGATCTTAGAACACTTGGATTTCGCCGACGACTTGTGTCTGTTGTCCACAAACTTGAAGATCTACAGGCGAAAACCAACAAGTTGACAGAAGAAGCGAGTCAGGGTAGCGAAGACGGAACTTCTTTCAAGTGAACGTAGAGAAGACAGAGGTGATGAACATACCCAACCAACGCCACAACCAACAACAACAAGCTTCAATAACCATCAACGGGAGAAACTTAAAGGAAGTTGCCTCTTTCAACTATCTAGGCAGCATCCTTCCAACTACAGGCGGCAAAGACGACGACGTCAAAGCCAGGATCGGAAAGACAGCAAGACAGACTCTCATTAACCTGAAACCAGTGTGGAGATCTCCTGCACTACACTCAGCATAAAGCGTAAACAACATCCAGATTTTCAACACTAATTCAGTCAAGTCAAGTAAGTCAGTGATTCTATATGATGGTTGAGAGACTTGGCGCGTTACGAAAAGCATTTGCAACGAACTACAAACATTCATCAACCACTCCCCAAGCTACCTACACTCTGTACTCAAGCTCAGATGGATTGTCAGAATAATAAGAATAAGCAACAAGCAACTCTGGGTGACAGGCAACGAACCAATGAAGCAAGAACCTATCTGTCAACAAATATGCAGCAGAAGGAAGTGGAGATGGATTGGGCATACACTGAGAAGGAACGCCGACTGGGAATATCACGCGCCGGGCCAGTTGCTCGAGTGGAAGCCAGATGGGAAACGACGAGTTGGGCATCGGAGGTGAGGGTGACATGGAGGAGATGGTGTGAGGACTAAATGAGAGGTTGTGGGCAGTCGTGGAGTGAGGTTCAAAAGATTTCAGAGAAGAGAGTGTGATGGGGACGTGCTACTGAAGCCGTATGTTCCACTAAGAACCCAAGGTGCAAATAATAACAATAACGTTATCTAACCAAGAAATCATTCTAGTTTGATGACTGTCCAGCTTTCTTTGAAAATTTATATTTGATTATGAATATTTTGTTGACAGGTTAAGTGATTTCCTCAGTGTTTTTGTCAAGAAAAAGTGCTGAATTTATTTGGCCTTCTCAGAAATGACTCGAGATGAAAGAGTAAAGTTTTCGTTTCAGCAACAACAGTTATTTACTTCTATCTCTGCTCACTATATTCTTAACTAGCCAATGAATGTTTTTATGCTTTACTGACTATTGGAGTATCAACAGACAAGAATAAATAAGTCACTTATTAGACTGTAACCTATCAACGATGTAGCGGTTTCTGTAACGTGTTGCAAACCATGTCGATTTTGAGAAAGTGAATAATGTGACCAGGTTCGAAACCATGATTCATTGGATGAAAGATGAAGGCCTAAATCAGAACGACGGATGATCACCAAATTTAACTATTCATATATATATATATATATATATATATATATATATATATATATATATATCATATATGCTGTTTGTTCTTTTGGTTCCAAGTGGAACATAGGGCTTCAGTTCCACGTCGCCATTTTACTTTCTTTACTGGAGTCGTTTTAACACGGCTCCACGACCACCGAAAAGCTTTCATTTCTTCCCCACATAATCTCCTCCATATCACCTTCAGACGCCCAACTCATAATTTCCTATTTGGCTCCCACTCGACGGCTTGGCTCGGTGCGTTATGTCCATAAATGGTCTTCTCGGTGTATGCCCAGTCCATCTCCACTTCCTTCTGCATATTTGTTGAGACATAGGTTCTTGGTTGGTTCGTTGGCAGCCAGCCAGAGTTCCTCGTTGCTTATTCCTTCTGGCCATCTGGTCTGATCTTCAGTATCGATTGAGAGTAGGCGGTAGCTGTTGATGCATGTCTGTAGTTTGTTGGAAATGCTTTTCGTAACGCACCAAGTCTCCCAATCATATGGAAACATTGACTTGACTGAATTAGTGTTGAAAATCCGGATCTTGTCTTTTATATTGAGTGCAGTGTGGTAGATTTTCATGCTGATTTCACATTCAAAAGATTTCAGAAAAGAGAGTGGAATGTCGACATGCTACTGAAGCCGTATGTTCCACTAGGAACCCAAGGGACAAATAATGATAATAATATTGACACAATACTCTGGCTTTCAATTGTATTTACAGCATATATTTACGCTTTGGGGTTTACTTTTCTATGTGTCAACATGTTAGCTCCAATCTCCTGTTAACATTCTTTTGATACTGTACCCCGATTATTGGATTATAATTAGTATTATAATTTTTGACATGTTTGTTTTTTAACCTATAAATTATCATCTTAACCGACCGTGTATTTTCCTTATGCACACTTGATTGTGTAATATCTTCATAACTCAAGAATCTATAGACTATTTTACCCTAGAATTTTCCGTTCTGCTGACCTAATATTGACCTATTAACCGATAATAGACTCATTTATTTGTTTGTTATTACTATGAATACTGCTGTACAGTTGCTGAGATAGATTCATCGAAAAGAAAACTTTCTTCTCTATATTCCATTTCACATACAAATAACTTAACTGTTCATTGCAATAATCGATGTATAGCTGGTACGATTCTTTCGATAGGCTTTTTGTGTAGCTAAATCAAAAGTGACTAATCTAGGTCACTTATGCCAGTTCTTACCTAGCTAATAATAGCAAACACATATACTATCTCAAATATAAGTTTAGCTTTGTGTAGGTTTATAATTAACTTGTTTACTTTTTGGACTAACATTTGTTCCACGCAATACATGATTCAACCTCTTCTCAAACATACTACAGATCTTAGTATTTGCTTCAAAAACTTATTTTTTGTTAGAATAAAAGAATAAGTTAGAGAGTAACTTTCCAGAAGAACCTTAAAGTAGTAAATCTCCTTAGTATATTGATTAAATTCATTTGAGTGAGAAAAGCAGTAAGGATTCTTTGTTCATCAATTTACTGATAAATAAGATACTTCTTTTGATTTTCTGAGATACCTGTGGTTTAGCAGACTAGTATTTATACTGGGTGATGATCGAGGGTGAAATGAAAATT